ATTCTAGCCATGATTACGCTGATAAGTGAGTCCAACCCTTATGTGCTCTTTGTACCAGCTCCTTACTCTCGGAACCACGATGTCTATTGAAATAGGAATTAGAAAAGTCATGATTCGGATGAATTCCCCATTGTGTCCTGGCAGTGTAATGGAGCCTAGTGAACAACCATAGGTAGCAAACATGGCCAAGGAAGCAGCAAATAATTCCCAATTCAATAGATGCCTGTTAGTGAGGATCATGATAATGTACAAGGACAAATTAAAGCCTATAGTGTTAAACATGGCGTAATATGGGAATAGAGATATCCATACTTATTATTTTCTTTGTCCTTGATATCATGCATTGCCAGGCAAGTCGCAGTTGCCATTAGCACAGCAAACACCACCAGAAAATAATCGCTTCTGACTTTGTTCAGATCGCTTTTTCCCACTTGGAATTTGAAGTACTCCTCCCAATGGATAATGTCTTCCGGATTTGGTACACTACTGTTAACGTCCTGTTGTTGTAGGGATTGGATTTGTAACAGAAAGCAGCAGCAATCCGATTGCTGTCGATCTATGTTGCGGTATCTCTCTGCTCCGGAATTCATGAAAAGCTTTTCCATCTCCGAATAAATAGATTCACATGAACATAGTATGATCACATCTTGTGGCATTAGCCCACTCTTGTTTACTGCATTCAATGCCAAAATACCAGGAGTTGGGAATTGGGTTATTGCAATTCATCAATAACTCGATTGCCAGGCAGTTTTTCTAAAAGCCGCAATGTGCAGGACAGTGTTTCCTTCCTCATCCATGGAGTTGATTATCTCCACTAGATCAAGGTGGTAGTCTTTCACAAATCTGACTAACATGTCAAGAACTTCAACCTGGTTGCTTTTCACAGCCAGATGAAGAGCAGTTTTGCGTGTTGCGGTGACATAATTAACAGCGTCCAGATAGGTTTGAAAATTATTTAAAATTGTTTATTAGGTCGCCATAGTTAATAGGTTATTTATTATTTTAATCAATTAAAAATTAAAAAATAATTATTTAAAATAGTTTTTATTAATACTTATTTTATCAACAGTAATTCCACAAAATTATAGCATTTTCATTCTTAACTTAAGTCATTTAGACAACTTGCTTTTGGCACTACTCACATTATTAAATTGAGCAATTAAGTTGAGAATAACTGTTTAATAATAAGGATCCAATATATTGAAAGACCATTTTAAGTATAAAAGTCTAATTATTAAAATTTTAGTCTCCACGTCTATGAACAGTTTACTTTTCTCAATGTATGAAGGCCCCGGAGTCCGTTAGTTTTCTTTGTGAATTGTCGAACAGCCCCTGTACTTTTCGAGATTATGGGAAAAAAAAACAGAAACCCCCTGTACTTTTCTAGAGATGGAAAAATGCCCCTGAACAGTCAGGTGCTTGACTCCCTACATTCATCGAGTGTGGCATTTTCGCCCCTTTTTAACAATTTTCATAATTAAGACTTAGATTGAGATTGTTAACATGTAATTGTAATAGTTAATTTTTTAGTATTTTAATATTTTAAAAATATATTAAAATATATTTAATATTTATATTAATTAATATTCACTTAAAAATAGCAGCCAAGACCAAGTTAGTAATGGTTGGATTTACCTCCCTCTAGAATGAAAATTGTAGAAAAGAAAAAACTCCAGGAAA